AATGGTCAACCATTATCTGTAGTGCCATAAAACCATTTATGGCATTAACAATCTGTCCACTTTTTTTTGAACAGCAAAGAAAAAGAACTTTATTGATGAAACAGAAAAACTATTACATCAAAAAAGGATAGGAGAAGGAGTGCAGAAAGCATCATAGCGAACCCAATCAATCCCAACTAGGTTGGCACCGATAGGGCCGCACAATCATATGCTAGCACAACCACAAGAGTTGGTGAGGAACCAACCACAAACATCAAAGACTACCTCACCCAAAAAGCATTGACCACACCTAGAACAAACCAAGCAATCAATCTACATGGCAGCAGCAAAGGAGACAACCAGAGCAACCAGCAGTAGTAGGCTCTTGGACACTACTATTCAACCCAGCAGAAGTAGGCTCTGACAAGTAAATCTGTATAACCTTACTGATTTAAGCCACAAAATCCAAGTACATGGTTGGAGGGGGTGTATCCTCATGTAGCTTTTGAAAAACCAAAGTCACTTTTATCAAACTTCCATCATCCTTGGGTTTGTAGCTTGGACTGTGTTTCCCACCTTGCCATCAATTCTACTACCTGCTTTACTTCCCACAAACAGATTGCAGGAGACCAAAGAAGTCTAAAACATGCCCAGCAGTCCAAGGCAGCTCAGAATCAACATGCCCCGCAGTCCAATTATAACAAACTAACTCCTCTGCTAAGAGGCCAGAAGTAGTCCAACATGCCCAGCAGATAGCATTCTACATCCCACTTCAACCCACTCCAAGCAGCATTAACATTCAGAGCAGCATCAGACCACTGCCACTGCAAACTGTAATAGTCCAGCATCAGACCACTGCCACTTTCACCAGCATACACCATCACACCTGCACACAAAACTCCCTCTGCATCAGTCCAGCATCACCAAAACATGCACCAAGACAGTAGTAGGCCAACTCAGATGCAGCAAACAACCCAGCAGCCCACACACCAATACCTACTTCAACCAATGCCCCTGATGCAGAACCTTACCTGTTGCAGGTTATTCACAAAATCAGTTACAAAATAACCTGAGTAAAAAGCACCAGCATCTTTGCACCACAACGCGACTCGCACTTTAATGACCTCACACAGCTCCTCAAAATTTGGGTGAATGCCATTAAAGATACAATCATTTCTTAATTTCCAGATGGACCAAATCACAGCCAGAGGCATGGCCTTCCAAATCACCCTCTCTTGTTTATTCAGCCTTGTACCAACCCACCAATCAAAAAGACAGAGCACTAAACCAGGTAGAACCCACTGCAAACCCCACCAATTTAGCATATGTGCCCAAACCTTCCAAGCAAAAGGGCAAAGAAGAAGCACATGATTTACACTTTCCACTTCTTCATTGCAGAAAGTGCAACTCACATTGGCCTCATCTGAAAGCACTCTAATTTGTTGCAAAAAACTAGAGGTCTTTAACCTTCCTTTCCATGCCAACCAACCAAAAAATTGAGCTCTAGGCGAAGAAACATTATTCCATAGCAGATCTGAAACCTTACATACTGTACCAAAGGAATTATCCCACCACTTATAAACAGAGGACACAGTGAAGTTACCTGATGGGTCTGCTTTCCAATGCAAAGCATCAACCACATTTTCCCTAAGGGTTGGAGCATTACTCAGCAGCAATTTCAATCTATGCAAATCCTCAACCTCCCACTGAAAAAGTGCTCTTCTAAAATTGAGGTTCCACTCCACCCCACTGTTTCTTCTAGAGTGCATCACATACACAGAATCAAACTTTTCTAAAGACAAGGAGTATAGCCTAGGGAAAACTTCCATCAAGCTCACATTATTACACCATGTACCTTGCCAGAACAGAGTGTTTTTCCCATCCCCAATCACTGGAGCAGAGTTTTCTTTAAAGAATTCTACCAGATCCGGTCTGGTTCTAGCAACACCCAAGATATCAGCCCATATACATGAGATCCTAGGGTTACCAACAGGTTCTGGACACCACCCTACACCCACCTGCTTGTATTTGTTATCTATCACCTGTTTCCACAGAGCATTAGGTTCAGTCCCAAACCTCCACCACCATTTCAATAAGAGGCACTCATTCATGAGTCTAATCCTTTTAACCACGAGACCCCCCTGCTGTTTGCTTTTAGCAATCTCCTTCCATTTAACCAAATGTATTTTCCTCCTAAAGTCATCCCCACCCTACAAAAAATTGGATTGAATAGACACAAATTCCTTAGCAACCCCTGCTGGCATTTTGAACAAAGATAAATAATATATAAGTAAGCTAGACAACACAGATTTAACCAAAGTCACCCTACCAGCAAAGGAGAGGTATCTTCTCTTCCAAGAGGAAAGTCTTTGTTTGCATTTGGCTAATACCGGCTGCCAAGTCCTCTTTCTCCTTGGGCTTGCACCAAGAGGGAGTCCTAAGTACTTAAGGGGCAAGCTTTGGTGAAGACAATTGAAACTATAAAAGTGCAATCTGTCCACTTGGTGTCATTACTTGCAGTTATAAGGTTAACAAACAATGCAAAAGAAAATTTTGACAATTTCTAAAAGTGCAATTAAGATGCATAATTATCCAAATTAACAAAACTATTTGAATATTAAATCTTCCTACGTTGATTAAATTATTTCCTAAGTGCATGTTTGGGTAGACCTAAAAAAGGCAAAAAGTCACTACAAAAGTCAAAAAGTTTATACTATTCACATTTTTTTTGGCGGGAAAATTGGGCTGATTTGTCAGAGGGCAAAAAGATACATTTACCCTTATTTGTCCCATTCCCGCTCACGTGTGAAAAAGGAAAAAAAGTAAAGAAAAAAATCAGCACAGTGTGCACTGATATAAGTCCCGTCACTGACTAGCACCGACCCTCACAGAAGGGTAGTTCGGTCATTTTAGTATTTTATAAATATTTTACTACACATTTTTTCGTAAAAAGTCAAAAAGTTATCTCAAACAACTATATTTTTTTCCTCTACTTTTTTAGACAAAAAGTGCACTTATATAGTTCATCCCGAACAATCCCTAAATCAAATCCACATGCAACACACGTGTTTCTCTACTAGTCATAATAAAAAATCCTATTTACTGCATGAAAAATGGATCGAATAAAAAAATTTGTTGTAACCCAGCCACCAACAACAGCCTAAAGGTATAATAAAAAAAGTGACATCTAAAAATCCTGTAAACCAAAAATGGTCAAGTTAACTTGAAAAAATAACAGCTATCAATCATATAAACCAATATTTACCAGCTAGAACAAACTACAAACAGCATTACAAATAGCAATCTAATATAAATTTGTCCTGGCTTATCTCAATACGAAAGAAAACTTTAACCAGAATTGTATGACGGGTATTAATGTCTTGCTAGAGAGTTAATCCTGGTCAATTTATACAAACAAACTATACGACCGCCTCAAAAAAAAAAAAAAAAGCATGGCTATAAAGTAACCTCCTTGATTCATATTAGTATGAATACCTCTATTATATTCCTGCTTTGGTTTCACTATTCTAGTGATGCAAAAGATTCCATTGGATTGTTATTTATGGGTGACATATAGCCTTATCATTTAGAAATCCAGTTAATTGAGCAGACTATATTGAGCCACAAAAAAAAAAGGATGTTCAAGCTCGGCTCACTTACCAAACGAAAGGTGATTTTAAGCTTAAAATGGACTCATTTTACCTTTAAATCAAGCTTGAACAAATCCTAAACGAGCCAAGCTCACGCTTATCTCGAGCAGTTCGGCTCCCCTATGTATTGCTCTGCTTATTATTACAAAAAACATTTCAAGTCAAGATAGCCAATAGATTTTTTAACACTGCAAGTATATCTAGCCTTAAATTTTTTTAGGCAAAAAAAACAACATGAATTTGTCATGGTGGCCAATAATTTTCTTGTTTACCCAGGAACAAATAATGCTTGTGCATAAAATTGGAAGTCAATATAGGGAATAGGCTATATAAATATAAATAAAAAACACCTATTACCATCTATTCAGGCAGGGAACATGTTCAGAAATAATGAACTGGAACTAAATAGTGAACAAAAATATGATTTTCTCAATCTTGGTCACAGCTGCAGGCACTAGGCAACACATGTTTAATTGCATGCCTCAACCCTTATACCACACCCAATACTGCGTCTCAGAGTCTGGAGGATAATGCCAACTTAAGTTCTATTGTTTGATCATACAAATCAAGAGTAGCACCATTATAGTGGTCGCAATATCTAAAATCCTCTTCACATATGTCTACTACAAGTGTGTCTCAAAGTATAGTTGAACCTTAACAAATAAATAAAAGTAAACAAAATTGTGCATGTTAAACAAGAATGGAGTTAAAAGAAGAAAAAGGGGCTTAGAATGGAAATTAAGGCCTCGTTTGGGAACAGGCTAATTTAGTAACTTTTTGGCTAATTAGCTAAAAAGGTAAGTAAAAAAAAACTTGTATGTTTGGGATGACTTTTTGACTAATTACGAAAAGCTGTGCAAAAAGTAGAGAGAAGCTGTAATTGTTGACTTTTTGGTATGACTAATTGGCTAATTGGCTAATTGGCTAATTTAGTAACTTTTTGACTAATTGGCTAAAAAGGTAGCATCCCAAACGAGGCCTAAGAAGCAGCCTAGAAGAAAACCACTATCAGCAATGGCACCACATTTGCTTCTGGCAACAAATTGTGCGGTGCGCAACAATTTTGACTGGACGAAAGTTTTGTTTCCTTCATTAGAAGATTCAGTATAGGTTTCCCTGAGAACCTCAAAGGTAATGATGCTAATTTTACGCTTTTCAGTATCTCCAAAGTATAAGTGGTCAGGGTTTTTAGGGTCCGGAAGGCTGCCAGTTGAGACATAATAGAAAATCCTATTTCCCAGATGAACTAGGTAAGCCGAAGGACATTTTACACCAAGATTATCCTCAATAGCATCACCTACATCTGAGGACAGCAGTGCCATACGATCAAACAATCCTTTAGCTTTAGCCTCTGGCTCAGACTCTGAGGTCGGTCCAAATGCAGCGACGGTGTAATTGTAAATGGAATAGAGGGTATCCCTACAAACTCAGCACTCCTGTCAAAATAAGGCAGGACCCGACAGTGCTTTGAGAACCGAACCCATACACGTGTCCACGTTGAAAGAGAAAATTTCATTTTCCAAGGTTAATATGAAGACCCTTCTGTCAACCAGAGCATGACCTATAGCGACCCCGGCCTTTTCCCATTTAATTATTGTATTCGGACTTAGGTTCCGTAGCTCCTGCCATTGTATTATGATTGTTACCGTCCTTTAATTTCCTATTTTTGAGTTGGGGAATGTAATGGGTAGGTTTGTAGCAGGTTGGTTGAGCTTGGGAGCAAAGAGTTGCTGCCCAGAATTTTGACCCTTCGCTCGAGCGAGCAGTTCCCCGCTCGAGCGAGCTCTTTGTTTTGGTCCGTCGCTCGAGCCAGGGTTTCTTCGATCGAGCGAGGATTGCGTTTTGAAGTAAGACCTGAGAGCAGAGGTTCTTCGCTCGAGCGAGAGTTCCTTCGCTCGAGCGTGTGTCTGGTTACAGACCTGAGGGTTTGAGTTCTTCGCTCGAGCGAGATTTCTTTCGCTCGAGCGAGCTTTTGGGTTGTTGGCTCGAGCAAGGCTTCCTTGGCTCGAGCGTATCTTTTATGTGTCTGGTCGCTCGAGCGACCAAGTCTTCGCTCGAGCGAGCCTGTCAGGTTTAAATAGGCAGCAGCGTGTTTCAGATCAGTTTTTCATCCACTTTCAGATTCCAAAACCCTAGGTACGAGTTCTCTCTCCCTCTACACACCTTCTCTCTTAGGATTGATCTACTTAGAGTGAGTTTCTACCTTAGATCCTTTATTAAAAAGATAGTGTGAGTCGAGGGCTTCCATTTAATCTGAACATTTGGTGATTTGGAGCACATTGGAATTTGGGTATTCATCTCTGTCTTCTCCATTCGGGTTATTTTCTTCGAGGTAGGGATTTCCTACTCCATCTTATAAGTTTTGTTATAAGTTTTAGTATTTTGATATGTTGGGGATACTTTGGTAATTTTGGGAAAAACCCTAGTTGTATTAATAAATTGATTTGTCTAATTAATTCATGGAATTGGGGAAATATGGTTAAATTCATGGAATTGGGAAATTCATTGATTAAATGGCGTAGTTGGATAATTTTAATCACTCGCCTGTTGAATTGTTGATGTATTTATTTTCAGTTTAGAAATAACTGTTTTGGGCTATCGGTGGAGGATAGTCGTGCTTGTTGTAGACACTGCATGTGGATTAGGGATAACTAAAACTAATCACATTGGTTAAGTCATTAATTTGGGCTATTGCATTAATACAGAAAATACGTGTATTAATTGAGCATTGCATTTGCATACATTGTTTTGTGTGGGAGGAGATAGGGGATGTACTCCACGGTTTAGGGGAAGATAGGGGATGGACCTCTAAACCGGATTTTGTTTGGGAGGAGATAGGGGATGGACTCCATTAGCATCACTTTTATGTGTGCTTATTTATATAGAAGTGTTTTTATTGATACAGCACTAAAATGTGTATCATTCTGGAAGTATGAAGTGTTTTGATTTGAGCTTGAGTCTCATTTGTTTGTTGACATTGGAAGAATGTGAATATGATATATATATATTTCACTATTGTAAGTTTGGCCAGGTTCTGAGCCATATTGATAATGTTGGAAAGTGAAACTTGTCGTTGACAATAGTGTCATGAGATTGGATAATGATGTAATTGATTATCTTGGTTAACCATCTATTGAATGCTATTGCTTTATTCAATACTTATATTTGGTTTAGTATATTTCTACTGGGCTGTGGCTCACCCTATATGGGAACATCATTTTCAGGTTCAGGTGATAAGCTACCTCCAAGGACATAGCTTGGAAGGACTTGGATTTTGAAGATTATTTTCAGTTATTTGCTTTCATTTGTTAGTACATGTAAACACACAAGCCTAGGGCTTTATTTGTATTTGAGTTAGAACTCATACTTTTGTGTCCAAGTGTTGGCTTGGAAAGATGTAAGCCTGTAGGGCATTTAATTTGATGTTACATGTAATGCCTTTGTTTAGTAGGACTCTGATGAATATTATAATGAACTGTTTCCTTTTTAACATTGCATGTTGATGTTATATATATTTAATGGGTTATTTCCGAGGGCGTTACATGACCAGTGAGTTTCTTGTTTATAGGGGGGTCAGGGAGGATTGACCACTTATTAGAGTCCAAATCAAAGACTTCAAATCGTGATAGATTCATCAATTTGTAATTGAACCGCATGCTAGTTGCAATGGCATAGATCTTCTTGTGAGCCACAAATGCATAAGGATTCGGCTTCCCACAAATCATCGCAGTACCCTTCCTCAACAACTCAGACGAACAGTTACTGGTAACGAAAGTGTTGGTGGAGATGGTGGTGGTATCGAGAACATGGACATCCGGCGGGTAAGTGTCATTGAGATCCCAATCCTTCCCTTTTGATCTCTGTCTCTCGGCATGACAGCCCCCAAAAAAGTACAACTTCATGTCTAATTCAACGCAACACATAAATCCTGGGTATTCTCCAAATGGAAATTCAAGGATGGGATAAATAGTCCTCTCCAATTCTCTGAACTGATTGCAAGGTTGCAATGGAGGAAGAGGAAGAACAAGATTAGGCATATTGATGGCGTACAGACAATAATTAATTGGACCCCATGGATATATGAAGAACATGTACAGAACCTTTGTTTCTTCCACTGCTGCAGTTGTTTCCTCTGATGATATTGGTAATGGTGCTATTGGGGGTCTAAATGAGGAGGCTACTGGGGACCATGATCGAGACCGTGATCGTCGACCACCCGATGGTGATGATGATGCAGATCGTGGAGACCATGGCCGTTGCCGCCGTTGCAATGATGATGATGACTGTTGGAATCTTGAACGTGATCGACGCAATGGTGGTGAAGACGATGATGGTGGACTTCCCGAACCTGTTGTTCTCGTCATCAATGTCTCCCTGTGGGATGCAGCGTCTTCGCCTCCCTCTTAAGCTTCCCCCAAAGATTGAGCTTCAACAACCTACTAGTTGTCAAAAAAACTAAAAAAATTACAAACACCAGTGTTTAGAAAAAAGAAACAATAAAGGAACACAAGAGCATGCTATTGTTTTTTAAAATAAAAATTCCAGATGCTTTTATAAAAAAATGTTATTAAGGACTAGAAAATTGGTTAGAACTTTATGGCAACAAACCAATGGGGAAAGGTTGTTCCAAAATAACTAATTGTGGTACTATGAGAAGGTTTGATGTTGAGAGCTCTCTCTCTCTGCTACACTTGAATGTTCTAGAAGTAAATTCCTCATCACTCATTTTAACTACCCAAATTTCACCATTTACCAACCACTCATTTTACCTACTCAAACTTCACCATTTACCAACCACTAATTTTACCTAAGTCAACGTATGGTTAAAGTTTGGTGTGCACTAGTATAAATAGGAGACATTTGGATCTCCATTACGTGTGTGTAAGGAAGAGGCAAAGTCCAACTGAGAGTGCTTGAATGTCATGTGTGATTATAAAGTGTGTTGTCCTAGTGTGTTTGTTGTATAGTAAAAGTTTTGAGTGTGAGTGAATAAATGAAGAATATTAGTTTGTGGTTGTGTATACTAGTGTCTTGTACTTAAGTTTATTAATTGATGTCTTACAATTCAACACCTGACACTTTTTAAGGTTAGAAAAAGGAAAAAAAAAAAAAAAAAAAAAAAAACAGCAAACAGTCATAATAAGGGTAATGCCAACGAAAAGGAGTCCAAAATCAACTCAAATACTAACAAGAAACAAGGTATCATGTGATTTAGTCTAAGTTTGGGATCAAAGGAAGTGGATTGGTGATGTGGGAGTCATCTAGCTGGTTCCTAATAGTTTAGGCAAGACTAAACTAAGATTAAACTAAGATTATTTGATTTTATTCCTTAAACATCTAAGCAATACTATATTTTTTAGATAAATTACAGAAAAAATATAAGTGCACATTTCCATATAAAATTTCATATTTCAACTATGTTTTGTTGGACATTTCACGTTCCCCATGGTGAATATGATATAGGTATTGGAGAATGTGAAGGTAGAGTCCCACATTAGATAAAGAGTAAAAGAAATGGGTCTTAATATACATAAGATAGGTTCTCCACTTATGGGCCTAAGCTTTTAAATGATTACGAGTTCCAAATAATGTATGTTAGGCATGTGGACTCAGGGATTTCTCCGAATTGGGCCAGATTTGCAGTGTGCTTGTGGAATCCTCAAATTCCCTAACAACTGGTATCAAAGCCAATGGCTAGTGATCTATAGGTGGGCTCTCTTAGAGCATTGATGTTGTTGGGCTTGGGTTTGCACAGAAACTCTCAATGGACAAAAGAAACATCCATGATGACTCTAGATGGAACAAAGAAAATTCCTAGTGCATGTGGTAAGGTTGGACTGCGACAATGTGGCTCTCAATGGAATATGGTTACTCTCAATGGAGTATGGTGGCACACGATGCATTATGTGCGGGTGGCCCAAGTTGTACTCAATGATGGAGAGTTATAGATCGAGATTAAGGGAGAATGCGTACAATCTATGATGAACTTGCTCTTGATAGATCAAGACTCGAGAGGAGCAAAGAGAGGCCCAATGTTTGGTTCACACATGAGGGAGAGATTGTTGGAGCATTTGTGAAAATAAAGTCCCACATCAGATAAAGAGTAAAAGAGATGGCCTCAATATACATTAGATGGGTTCTCCACTCATGGGCTTAAGCTTTTAAGTGGGTATGAATTCCAAATAATGTATTGTAGGCCCTATTATTCGATATGTGGACTCTGGTATTTTTCTGAATTAGGCTGGATTCGCACTGCGCTTGTGGGCTCCTCAAATTCCCTAACAATAGGTGCCTGACATTCACATGCTAATTTCCACCAAAAAAAAAAAAAAAAAAACATGATTTGACTAACAACTATTCATACTATTTTCAACCAAAACAATTTGAATCGTGTTACTGAATCGAAAAATGAGTAAATCATGCGATTCAGTTTACGATTCACTATCATCCACTGTGATTCAATAAGATTCGTTGCAATTTAGTTTTGTTTTTGGTTACATAGTGCATAAAATGACAATATTTCACCTCTATCAAGAAACAAAATACAAATCAATTAATTATATTGAATTAAGTGGTTTTATTATATACATATATACAATTTAGTTATATTAGGAAAAATCATTCATTTTAATCCAACCCAAACCAAGACTTAAGTCTTATCAAATGGGATCGGCTACATAAATCCTTCTTCTCCATGCAACTCTATCCAAGGCCATATCGTTAGTCAAATTAAGGAGATTCATATCTCTATTTACTACACTAGCCCACGTCAATCTAGGTCTGCCCTTTCCCCTACACTTCCATCTACCATCACTGTATCACATCTCTTCACTACTCCGTTGTATATGACCAAACTGTCTCAATCTATTCTCCCTCAACTTATCTTCTATCGGTACTACTCCTCCCCATTCTCGAATATACTCATTCATAACTCTGTCTTTTCTAGTCTTACCACACATCCACCAAAGCATCAACACTCATCTTATCTACATGTTATTTCGTAGTTGCCCAACATCCCATCCCATACAGCATCACTGGTCTAATAGCCGTTCTATAGAACTTCCCTTTTAGTCTAGTAGGGACTTGTTTATCGCACAATATGCCAAGCGCGCTCTTCCACTTAAGCCATCCTGCCTTAATCCTATAGACCACATCCGCTCCAATCTCCCCAACTGTTGTGATAATCGATCCTAAATAATGAAAATGTCCACTCTTCGGTAGTGCTTAGTCCTCAATTTTCACTTATCCTCTGCTTCCATTGTTATTATTACTAAAATTACACTCCATGCACTCTGTCTTAATTTTGCTTCTTCTAAATCTTTTAGATTCCAGTGCTTCTCTCCAAGTCTCTAATTTAGTGCTAACTTATTCTCTAGTCTCATCTACTAACATGATATCATTTGCAAAAAGCATACACCATGGTACATCATTCTCAATATTTCTCATCAACTCATCCATAACTAAACCAAAAAGATAAGGACTTAAGGTAACCCAACAGTAATTGAAAATTCACTTGTCTCTCCAGTCGGTGATCTAATAGTGGTCAACACACCTTCATATATATCCCTAATCACATCAATGTAACCTTTTGCCACCCCTTTCTTCTCTAACACCCACCAAATTATATCACGAGGCACAATTCATTTTAATCATTGTGTATATTTTTATACGTATATACATAAATAAAATTATATATTATATTTAAGGTTAATTACACTACTCCCTCAACTATTAGCAAATATCATTTTGACCCTCTCATTTATGAACTCAGACATATTGACATCATTAGCTATGAAAATTGTACAAATACACCCATTTTGAATGTGGTCTGGAGGGGCTGAAAGTAATACATTTTCATAGTTGAGGAGATCAAAATGGACGAGTTCATAGACAAGGAGGTCAAAGTGATATTCGCTAATAATTGAGGGTGTCAGGATGTTGCAGACTACTCTCTTAAGTGATTTACCATCACTTATTACACAGGATGCAAATTCATACTTTTTAGCATAGATATATCAGTTTGACTGGTAGATTGACAAACACTAACATCTATACCCAATCCCTCTAGAACTAGTTAGACATCCCTCATAAATAAAGATGAAAATCATGCCCCCTCAACTAATTATAAATTTCCCATTTATGGCCCTTTGTCATATATAACACAAAGAAATACACAGAGATAACATCCCAATTAAAAATAATAAAAATGGAGATACGGACAAGTATGATAAGAGAATTAATTGAATGAATACATTTACAACATGATTTAACAGTGGAGTTTGCTTTGATCAGGTGCAATAGACCCATCAAAATATTTAAAAAATGTTTCATAAAGGATCAATTAATCAAGGTGCTAAACATTTGATTTACAATTAGAAGATATGACTCAACACAAGCTCTTATTGGTTGCAGGCTAGTTTATGGAAGCTTTCAAGCATGTATGGGCTAATATTGCAGGCATAAAGGGTCTCTGCAATTGTTGGCTTTGAAATGGATCACAAAGCACTACTTAAATTCTTGACCATTGTACGATGTTCAGCTGGTAGACTGCTTTTACTAGAAATGGACTCGTGATGGACAATTTTTCTTGTTCTTTCCATGACAACTATTCTCTTGGCAGTTGTTTTTTCACCATAGCTAGAGATCTAGTGCTCATAGAATAAGCTGCCTGCCACATATTTTATGAGAAACTACTAGTCTTATACCTTAATTTGTTTTTTGGATACCCAAAAACATACCTATGGCGTACCCATCAGTATACTTAATGTATAAAACGTACCGGTACGCGTGCAGTTGTACCAGTACGCGTACCCGTACCCAGGAAGTACACGGTACTTGTACGGCAACATTTTTGAAGTACCCATGCTTCATAGAAAGTAATAAATAGAGCTAATAGAATATATGAAAATTACTATTTTGCCTTTATTTTTGTTCATTTCAAAATTTTAATAAAACTTTAATGTGAAATGACTCAAAAATCCCTTAACTCTAACCACAGCAATTTGTCTGTGTATTCATTGAGGGATTGCAATGGTAGATGTTGGAAGCTAGTGGTGTAGATGTTGGAATCTAGTGGTGGTGGCTTGGAGGAAAAGAGTGCGGAAGGATATGGGGTTTTGGTATAATTGTAGGGGTGGTGGTCATCGATTTGCGGTGGGTAGCCGTGGATTTTGTAGGCAGTGCTAGGCAAGGATTGGTTTTTTGGATTTGTCAAGATTTGAGGTTAGTTATGTATTTGCATTGGTTTTGAAAGATTTTTGGTTGGAGGGTCGTGATGAGAGAGTGAAGTGGATGGTTGTGGGTTTGGGTTGTGAGTTGTGGTAGGGTAGTGAATGGTGGTGGTTGTTGATGTCTCTACTACGTGACAAAATAAGAGAGAAAATTGAGTGACCAAAATAAAACGGGGTGTGTGAGGGTTAATTTCATTCTTATTATAAGG